TATATATATATAAAGTTAAAAAATGTAAAATGATGTTGAATTAAGTTCAGCTATAGTTCAGCAAATGCATTAACAAACCCAACAAGGCTACAACTCAGTTCATTTTACAGATATTTACCTAAAATTTGGCGTGGACTGATCCCTGACACACAGACTATTGGAGTCAACTCTGTCTGTTAGTAAAATATCTGATGGACCACTGGATGGATAGTAATTAAACTTTCAAGAAGTAATCGTTAGATGTACCTCCAATTACCTCCATGATTGATCAATTTATGGAGCACACCCAATTCAACGTGGCTGTCACATTAATCGTTATTAACCAGCACAAGAAAGGCTCCAATTCAGAAAATTTTACAGATGCTGAGCTAAATAAACTTTGATACAATAGTAGCTGGGACTGGGATTTGTTTAGAACGTGCACTCCAAGAATGACATCCGCTTGCATGAGATTGTGCACAATGATTTTTTTTCAAAATTTGACCAATATGGCTGCAACTAATTTCTCAGTGTATGAGTTGGTCTGAAGCATGGGCTTGAAAAGTTGACGGGCGATATGCATTCCTTCAAGGAAGTCAGGCCAGGAAAAATGCAAGTCTTGCAATAAAGACAAGCTAAAATCCTGCATGAGTAGACTGTAAAGTTCCAGCAGCTGGAGGAACTTTTTAACCAGGGAAAATAGGATTAAAAATGTAAATATTTTACTTGTGCATAAGATTTTGCATAAGTTGACACCACTTCTGCTGAATTCTTTCACTGATCAAAATGAAACGTTGAAGCTCTTAGTTGTCAGATTAGAACAATCTGCCTCACAGTTTATTTCTTCAACATTTACAATGCTGGTTGTTAACTTGCAAAAACCTGTCATTTAACTTAGGTATTTTTGTTGCAAGATAAATTGTTGGTTTAATTATCTTTTTTTATTATTTTTATTTTACATTTGCATCAACAATTTCTCACAGACTGCAGATGAAACTGAAGTGCTCATGGTGAATATTTTTTATTTTCCCTTTTAAACAAGAAAAAACGCGAAAGACGGTAAAAAATAAAAAAGTGCAATGCTGAGCAGAAACTCAGTAAATACAACAGGAAAGTCACTGGGAAGAACCACAAAACACTTTTGAAAAGTATGTAAACAGATATTAAAATATATTTTAAAAAATATTTATTGAAAAAGAGTATGTTGCCCAATGTAGTTGTGGTAACAAAGACAATAAATTATTAAGCTATTGTACACAAATGATGTAAATAAATGTGGTAAAGATTCTAGAAAACAGTAAAAATGTGCATAAATATTAGTTTTACTAAAAACTTCTGAAACTCAAGTTCCACTTGAGTTTGTCAAAGAACAGAACAAGTTCAAACAGTCCAGGTTTGCAGTCAGTATGCAGTTTATATATATATATAACTATTTAAAAATCATAATCATCACAAATATAAATGTTAAACACTGGCCGGAATCAAGCCATGTGTCTGGTGTAAAACTTTGGTACAAGATAACTGATAACCAGAAAGTTCTTTTCACCTTCCTTTGAATTGTTTAAAGACACACTTAGTAAAATAATTTTGTTTCCTGCATCCATACGATTATCTACCCTTATCCTGGAGGTAGAGATCATAAAGGTACTCATTGCAAATTCAACAAGACCGATCAAAAGCCACCCCCATAAAATCAGAAATGGTTAACTTATGCCCAAACTACTAAATTTATCATCAAAATAGTAAAGGGCTTCCAGCTACTGCATGCTTTTGTTTACCTACAAAAACAGCCGAAGTAACTGAACATAAATCAGCAACGGTGACTTCCACAGAAGAGCTATTTGGAAGTCCAACAGTTTTGCCAAGTTGGTGCATATTTACACTCAGAACAGTCGAGCAAAGTACGCAGATAAAAGTAATTTGTTTACATTGAGTGCATACCCGCATTTCAGAATCGCCTACATCTGGAAAACTACTGGAGCAAACTCTTTCAAGCATGGTAATATTTTTTTGTGTTTGATTTCATGATTTGCAATATGAATATTTTGCTGGTGGCGCAGAGGTTAGAAAAGGTGGGCCTGTGATCGGAAGATCGCTGGCTCAACTCCCGGTACAGACAACATCAAAATGTGGGTGGGATTTGTGAGGCACCCACGCCTGTCTCCGCCCTCACTTACCCCACTCTGGGCCCTTAAGCAAGACCCTTAACCCCCTCGTCTGCTCCCCCAGACACCCTGGATAGCAGCTCTCTGCTCCACACAGAGGGCTGTGGTAGCTCGGTGGTCTGTGGTTGCATCAGGAAGGACATCCGGCTTAAAAATAATTGCCAAGTCTTCATACGACTCAGTTCACTGTGGTGACCCCTGAAGAAGGGAGCAGCCGAAAGAAGAAGAATTTTATTTTTTTTATATATCTTGCAATGGTTACCTTTAGTATAAAATTACATAAAGACAAGCAGCATCCGAACCAGATGATTGTTTATGTGGTCTGGATGCAGGTTTGGAACTCCTCACAATCAAAACTGTGGCATTTTATAGCCTTAATCTCAAACCAAACTTTAAAAAAAGTTTTGGGGTAGCAAAACAAAAATTTGCTTGGGATTCTGTGCGAAGTCATCGTCTTTGACGATGGAAGGCTCTTTTGGAGGTAAAGTGCTGCTGATCTGTCTACAACTGTGATTTTTGTATAAATCAGACAGCTTGAGAAAAAAAAAAGAACTTGCTGCATATGTAGGTTGATGGAGACAATAGTGATAAAACACCCCTTGAAATATTTCATATACATCATCACCAATAATATAAGGGTCATCATCAGATGAGGAGAAACACTTCTCCTTTTTTTAGTTCATTCAACCAAATGAGCAGAACGCTTATGGGCGTGGAGCTGCACTAAACCTCCAACTTCATGACTGAGATTCTTCTTTTGTGCCGACTTCAAACCTTCGTTTGGCTTTAGATCCAAGGGGAAATCAGCTTTCAGGGCAGTCAGAGTGATGTGGGTGTCTTTGTCTGTCGCCATGACAAACAGCACTGTTCATCCACAGAGTTCAAGGATTCAACATCTTCGCTGCAGCTCCTCTGACTTTAGACCGGGCTGGCTTGAATTTTGCTGTTGATCCAGTCGATGTAGTTTGTGACCCGTGTGTAGACCCCTGGTTTATCTTTTTGCCCGCATCCATCTCCCCAGCTGATCACACCCATCAGAGTCATCTTGTCGTCGTTTCGGCAAACCAAGGGGCCACCGGAGTCTCCCTGCAGGGGGAATTCACAAAACAAAATAAAAAAGTTTCATTGGCCCGCTTTGAGCTAATGAGGAGCTTACGCAGACGTGTGCAACATATGGTCTAATAATCTCCATCCGGCACCTAATATCCTTTAAAATAACTTTTAAATAATTTGATGAAAACTTTCATTCCATCAATGAAACTTAAGGAAGTCTAAATTAGCAAAAACCTAGAAGACCCTTGGGTTGAGATAGGCTGAAATGTTTCTCTTTATGTTCTCTATATGTTTGCAGAATTGGACTGAACCTTAAAGTTTGGGCCCTTAAAGTTATTTGTTTGTTTGTTTTGTCTTTTTTGAATAATTAAGCTGACAAACATATTGTCTTAAAAGCCAGTTTATTGAGAATACTGTGTATTCATTGTGGATATATATATTTTAATAAAGCATGCTACAACAAGAAAAAGTCTGAAAAATCTTCTAGATTGTCTGTTATAATTATAATTATTTTTCCAATTCTCTATGCAGCCCTCAGATTGCTTTAAAGCTCTTGATTTGGCACTCTGCCCAGTGGTGTTTTTAGCCTCTTTTTGGGGGTGCTCAAGCACCCCTAAATTTTAACTCAGCACCCCTGAAAAATAAAGAAGTCATCATGATTTTGTAAGGAAGCTTAGTTCTCAAACCTTAGAGTCACCGAAATATTTAATAAATATGGAATAAATGATGACACGTGCCAGTAAAATCTATATTTTTGCACAAATCAGATCTTCGATGCCTCCTGTCAATCAATCCAGTAGGTTTGTCAGCAACTGACCCAAGTGAAACGCCCCTTACCTGCAGGAGCTGCATCCCCTTTTCCTCTGACAATACTGTCAGGGTTTTACATTACAAATGCTTTGCAGTCAGAGGAATTTAGTGAAAAAATCATCATAAAAAAAATTGTTAAATGTTGTCAGTGGCGAACATGTCATTCAGACAGCGTTACACTCAGCATTTAGAGGGTGGAATACAGTTTATTCAATTTGCAAAATCTAAAGTGAGTCTGGAAAAATGTAAAAAGCTGGATAAAGGTCGGTGGTTGACCTCGTGAGCAGCTGATTACAACAAGTTATAAACAGGATGTACCTCATGTTCATCTAAACAAAGGTAACTGCAAGTAAATCCTCAATTTCCTGTCATAACTACATTGTATACTTAATGGTTAAATTAAAGGTTAATGCTTACAGCTAGTTGTGCTTTGCTTTCTGTGTTTTGTTTGTTGCAACTTCTGGTTGCATAAATTTAGTCATTGATCCTTTAAAAGTCCTATTTGTGATGGAGCTCTTCATTTATGGCCATACCACTCTGAACACACCCAACCTCATCTGATCTTGGCTCGGGCCGCCTGGGAATACCACGTGCTGTAAGCTTTTGCACTTCTCACAAACATGGGGTGCGTTGTTCAAGCCAGGAGACATTGTCAGTGCTGGGGGCTAAGCACCCCAAAAAGTCAGATCCTAGAATCGCCCCTGCCTCTGCCATTCTCACCTTGCAGGCGTCATCGAGGCCTCGGGTGTCACCTGCACACAGCATGTTGGCTGTAACTGTGCGTCCGGACAGCACCTCTGGAACACAGCGTTCTTTGGGCCAAAGGCGGACGTATCCTCTTTTTACACGCTCAGAGAACTCTGCAGAAACTGTGGAGAAAGTTTTTTTTAATGAATCTATGACACGGCTGTGCAGAAGACTCCTGTTAGTGTGAGCTCACACCGTCCTCTGCTGGTAGGTCAGATTAAACCTCATGAGCTGTGTTCACTTACATTCTGTGTCTTTTCCATATCCTGAGATCTCACACTCAGTCCAGTCTGGCAGCACCAGGCCCCGGTCAGGCAGACACACTGGACGAACCTCTGCAGAGTTTATTGCACATATGCCAAAGTCCGTCTTCAGCTTCAAAATAGCTGCGAGTGGAAAGCGACCAAAGGAAAATCAGAGTAACACTTAAAGCTGCCGAGGAAAATATATTTTTACAAGCCTTCACAGCCCACATGAACTTTCCATATCATCATCAACTTTGTAAAAATACCCGTCTCTTATTGGAGTTTTTATTGTCAACTCTAAACTATGACAAAATATCACTAAATTAAAAAGTGTTTCTAACAAATTAAGAACTGCTGTATATAAAAATATGAAGAAAAGAGAAACGCTTCCTCACCGATGTCATTGTCAAACGTCTCATTGTCAAACTTCTCGTGGATCCAGTATTTCTCAACGCTGAAAATCTGCTCGCTGCTCGAGTTCTGTTTTCGAAACGTTCTCCCCAAAACCACCCCCAATTTTTCTGCGTTGTCGCTAAACAAAAAAGGAAACTTTGTTGGTTTGTTGCATGAAAAACACATGAAAATACTTTTTTTTTTTTAACATCACGGGGCTTTGCAGATACATTTGATGGTATTCTTACAGCTCACTGAAACAATGCTTAATTTCTTGTAAAGTGCGATTCCTTAAGGTATGCCTTAGAATAAATGTGATACAAAACGTGAAAAGAAAATGTTTTGTTGTTTGTTTTACAAAGATATGGTAAAATAGTCTGGACAGATTTGTTGATACTCTGAAAGAGACTTCTCATCTTTTCATTAGTCACGTTTCAGACTGTTTGATCTTAATTACTGTCACAGGAGCCTTCAAGCTTTTCATCAGACATTTAGCCTGTTTAAAGGGAACAAGCAGCCACGGGTGGTTTATGGTTGGGTTCACCACACTGAACATGGAGCAGAGAATCTGAGGCTGGAGCCGTCAAAGATCATAGCTCTATAAGTTCAAGGTTAATGGCTGCAAGAACATGTCTAAGCAGCTTCATGTTTCTCTGACCACCGATGCAAATATTATTAAAAAGTAAAAGGCTCCAAGTGCTGTAGCCAATATTCCAGGATGTGGACGCAAGGGGAAATGCGACCCCAGGTTGATAAGGCAAGATAGTGTGGATGGTAGACAAAGAGCCGAGGAAACCTTTCAAAAGCATTCAAGCTTTAACTCCAAAGTCAAAGTACGTCGCATTCTGATTGCATCATCAGTCACGTGTGATCTCTTTGGAAGAAGAACCGGGAAGGCTCCACTATTGGCAGAAAAACACAAAAACGTCAGACAGGAATTCACCAAATCGCATATTGACGAGCCCCAACGTTGATGGGAGACGTTTCAGGCACTGATGAATCAAAACTGGAACTTTTTGACTCCAGTCCCATCAGTGGTTTCTTTTCTTTTTAGTTTATTTTAAATGAAAGCATAAGACTACCAACAAATGTATCTGCGTCAGCCCATGTGAGGGATGAAGTGAATCTCTACTTGATTTCGAAGCAGTGCGCTGCAGACAGGACCCAGCAGGAGTTGATGAGGACTCCTCCACAGCGGTGGAAGTGCGTTCTGTAACGGGGCTGGTAAACGTTGATGGCGGCCTGCCACGGCTGCTCAGTGATGTCGCTCTGCTTGCCTCCGAACATGCGGAACGTCGGTTGATTCAAGGTGTTGTCGAAACGCTGGCCGCATGTTGCTGCAGAGGAGCGGGTTGTAGAGCGGTTCAGTAATAATGAAACAAGTGTAAAGGTTCATGATGAGTGTTTGAAGACGGCCTGCGATACCTCTGTTGTTGTTATTAGTGGAGGGAGCGCGTGGACCAAGAGTAGTGATGACAGATGGTTGTTTTGCTAAAAAACAAGAAAACCTTGATTATTCCTATTTGGCTTTATAGCATGAATATATTTTATGACTAATCTCATGTGCACCAGCATGAGTTGGTGAAATCAAATAACTCACAGCATTTTGGGATGTCACAAAGCTCCCAGGTCAGAGCCATGTTTTTATAGGTGTGACACCACGGAGCTGCATCACCATCTGGATTTCTGTTGAGTCAAACTGAGCTGTGATGATTGTTACACATATATTTTCTTTTGCATGTGCAAAATCTGATGACGTCGCTACCTGCAGAAATTATGGTTGCCCAGCCCCAGCTCTGCAGCATTGGAATTCCAGGCATTCATTCTCCGTTTGACGGCAGGAGAGTCCCACGGCAGACACTGAGAGCCACTTTTAGTGACGGACTTTGTGCCTCTGTACGACTGACCTGAGCCCAGCACACACTCTTTGGTCTTATCTGCTCAAAATACACACACATAAACAGACGTTTTAGTTTTAATACTCACACTACAGCTTACATGTTCTTTACATCTTGTTATTACTTTTACCTTCTGGACATTTGGGTAAGGGACAGTAGTCCCACACAATCTCAGTGCCTTTGTAGATGTAACACCAAGGAGAGCTGTCCTGGTCGGGATTCCTGAGGACGAGCAAAATAAAAGGGTTTGTGGCTCAAACAAAACTTTATCTTATAAATAAACACAAATATGAGTGTTATTCTTCACAAATGTCCTGGTTTGCGTACCTGCAGAAGTTGTGATTGCCCAGCCCGAGACTGCTGGCGTCTGTTTTCCGAGCCGTGAACCTCTTTCCTCGCAGAGACGTTGAGTTCCAGTTGATGCACTCTGCTCCCGACTGGCTGACTCTCCGTGTGCCACGATAACCTTGGCCCTGCCCCACGACGCACTTCTCGTTCATGTCTGTTGAGGGAAATAAGGCGTAGTCGCTGAGTTACATATATTTTTAATAACATCTAATGTGTTCTGACACAATAAAACCTGGTTGTGGAATCTGGAAAACCCTCTCAAACCCTTCAGACAAATTATGGAAGGAGTTTTATTGAAGATACAAAATCACAGATTTTGTTTTAATTGTATTTATATCATAGTTTTTCTATTAGTGGTTTAAAACGGGGAGCAAACACAAAATGTGGCCATATTAACTGGTGCAGCTACAATCACGTAGCTGTGACAGTTGGATTTTGGATAATTATCCCAGGGCGGGGTGTCCCTGAAAACCGCAGAAATAGAAACATTCATATCCCAGAATGTCTTTCCATGGTTTATGATTCTTTTTTCTTCCTCTCAGAAACCACAAGCGATGACAGCAGCTGTGGAGTCACACAGCTAGACCTTATCAAGAGTTACCAGCACGTTTTAAATAATGTTTCCAGTGGCCACAATTTTGCGAACAAGGACATTCGTAAAGCAACAAAAATAGATGAACTCTTCTTTTGTTGCATCTTCTGTACTGTAACACTTCGTTTCTCTGGAAGGTTACTGGGCATTTGACAATTTGGACTCCAAAAAAAAAAAAAACAGTTTTAGAGATTCATTAGGGTCTTCAACCACGAGAACTTACTGATCTCACAATGAGCTCCACTGAAGCCGGGGGGACACTGACAGATGTACTGTGACGAGTAGAAGGCCTCCTTGCAGGTTCCTCCGTTGTAGCACTGGGACACGTAGCAGTCTGGAAAAGGCAGACAGTGATGTTTAGTCAGGCCCACGTCATTCAGTTCAGCACCGGCTCGAGCAGCAAGAATATTGTTCATGACCGGTTAGAGAGAATTAAAACTGTGGGTTTGAATAGCATCCATGCGTGCACGTGGTTCCTTCTGGCTCCATTCTCACTTGAAGAAGTGTCACCACACTGTGGCTTTTTCTTTAAAATATCATGCCGAGGCTTTCCCAGGTTGTATATACTCATCACTCCTGTTTTTATTTGCCATTTTGACATTTATTTACACATCAAGCCTTGCACACAGAATAATATCCCTCCCCTTCCTCATTTCCAGGGCTTCAAAGCCATTTGTAAGGATGAAAATGTGGTTGTAATTTGTCTGAGGGAGGGTTAATCATGCTTCACAGACTCCGTCAATGAGGGTGAAAGTGCGCACAAAGGCTGGTTTGGCAGGAGTATTTCAAATAATCTCAGACTAAACTGCACGCTCTGAGGAACCCAAAGGCTCTTCATTTGGATGCACTGAAATAACAGGGATCCAAACACACGACCCAGGCAACCCCACTGAGAAAATAATCACTTGAGGTGAAAAGATCAGCGAGGGCGGACACAGAAAATGATGAGGCAAGGATGCTGAGCTCAGTCAGACATTTTGTTTGCGTTTGGGCATATGTCCGCTCGTTTCACACTCACTGATGACGGGCACAAAGTGACAAAGCTCCCTTCCTCTTAAAGCACAACGGCAATACTCCACACGCTGTCCCTTCCATCGCAGCCAAGTGTCGCCAAAACTACGCACTGCTGACGTCTCACTATCCACACACAGCACTGAGAGAACACAAACACAAGAACAGGTCAATCGAACAAGACAACACACATTAAACATGATCACAGTTAGATTGTGAGAACAAGCAGAACTAACAGGATCACAAGCACATGACAGAACAACAATGATGATGATGGTGGTGTTATTAGGGGACATAGAGAAACAGGGTGAGGCTCACAGGATGTGTCAAAGGAAGGTGAAGACTTCTTGAAATGAATAACCAAAAGCGTCCGTCTGGCTGGCTGCCTGTCGGGCTCACCTCTGTAAAAACGAGTCCCTCGCTTGGTGCGGAGCAGCTCCACCTGAAACAAACAGCAACAGTCAAAAATACACACACAGAAAAAAAAAAAGATGTGTTCAATGAACAAAGTGTTTTAAAAGATTACAACTTCATGGCTTTCCATTGTTATTATATTGTATTCACTGTCTTTGTTAACAAAGTCTTTATGGGATGATTCAGTGAATCAGATTCAGTTTTATTCTGGGCGGGTCAGATTTTATTTCTCTGGTCAAAGTTATGTACATTTTTTGTCACGTTTATTTGAATTCACATGAATTAGACGTGTAAGTGAAAGAAAATCTTGTCATAGTAATAAGTGTGTTACCTGCATCAGCATTGCTGAATAAATAAATAAATAAATAAACACAAATTTCAGACCAAAACATATTGGTTCATTCAACAAGTCAGTTAAAAAAAAAATTACATACCAACTCAACACTAATATGTTACTTTGTAACATGAACTAAATGTTTATATTCATTCAAAATGTCTTTATTTAAAAAGTTATTTATATTTAATCAATAAGAATAAATAATTTAACAAAGCTAAACTCCATATATTTATGCAATGCAAGTATTTCCTATTCTAAATCTAATGTTAAATCAATCAAACATACGGTTGTTTTTGTTTGTTTGTTTTAAGTGCAATGGCATGTGTCCTTGAAAGATAATTTTGTATGAAAAAAATTTATGTATATATTTTTCCTTAAAAGCAAGAAATCAGTCTACGTGTAACCAATAACAATTTAAAGCATCTAATGCAGGAACAGAAAGCATGTGCCATATTGTTTAGAAATCAATCAATTCAAAAAAGCAATGAATAACTGTTTTTATAGCTTATTTCAGCCTCTGTCTGCTTTAAAACTCATAGTTTAGATGAAGCTTGGATGGATTATGGACTACAGGAATTCACACACACATATATATATATATATATAGCTATATGTATGGAAATAGACTAATATACAGTATGTAT